AAGAACTCAAGGGTCTGTGGAGTGCCTCTGTCTTCTAGAATCCAAGGTGCTTCCCAAGGCCTCACTCTAAAATTTTCACCACTTGGGATCTCCAGTTCCAGATTGGTGACAGGGATGCATAATGAGAAGGACAGACCTGGATTTCAGAATGGAAGGGCCATTTGGATTCTACTTTAGCAGGGCAAGCCACAGGATGTTAACATGTTAAAATTGTGCTTGTGGCTGGGCGTCGTGGCTCATGCCTGTAATCCTAGCACTTTGGGAGGCCGAGGTGGGTGGGTCACCTGAGGTCAGGAGTTTGACACCAGCCTGGCCAACATGGTGAAAACCCCGTCTCTACTAAAAATACAAAAATTAGTTGGGCATGGTAGCAGGTGCCTGTAATTCCAGCTACTTAGGAGGCTGAGGCAGGAGAATCACTTGAACCCAGGAAACGGAGGTTGCAGTGAGCCAATATTGCCCCATTGTACTCCAGCCTGGGCAACGAGAATGAAACTCTGTCTAAAAAAAAAAAAAAAAAAAAAAAATCGTGCTTGCTCCAGGGCCTGGGCTCACGAACTCATACACAGCAGCCACATGGGCCCAGCCCACGCAGACTTAATCATCCTTCACCCTAAATTCAGGCTGGCGATAGATTTTTTTTCCACCCATCTCAGGGCCATGTGTAATAATCAGCATTGCTCCTTAAGATGAAATCCTCCCTGTTATGCTTATAAAAGGGGGATTTTTATAGCACAGGGCCATCCTATTTCCAAATGGAGGAATGCTGGAAATGTGGTAGGAGTCACAGTGGATTTGGATTGATGAGCTCAGGGTCTTGACCTTAGTGTTAACCATCCTGCCTCATGGAGGTGTCATCTTGGTTTATGAAGGTCCCAAGAATGTCTAGGTATCCCTGATACCTCAAAGTTGGTGTCTGTGCCACAGCCACAGGTCCAGCAGGGCCCCACCACTCGCAAGACTGTCTGGCGATCCGCATCCTGGATGGAGAACTTGGGGAGGAAGGGATGCCAGGTCTGTACCACGTGGCCGATAGTGGTGCCTGGTGGAGCCTGGACTTCCATCTGGAGTGGGAAGCAGACAGGATCACTGCTGAGGCAGGGTCTCTATCATCCAGCTCTATCATCTGTCTACTTGGCCCTCTCACTCAACCTCCCATCCCCACCTGCCCACTCCCACCTGAGCCAGGTCTTATCTTAGGCGGATCTCATCACTGGCCCGCCCCACCAAGGCCCGCCCTCCGGGCCCCATCCCTCCCGCCCACCTCCTGGAGGCCACAGGGGCAGCAGCTGCAGCCACAGTGCAGCGGGCGGAGCAAACGCAGCACCTCGCGGTCCCCGGAGTCCGCCAGGCGAACACGCAGCGGCCGGCGGGCGCCACAGCACAGACGGGCGCAGCAGTTGCTCTCCTCTGCCGCCTGACCCAGGGGCTGCCCGGCTCCAGAGCGCAGTTCATACCGGTTACAGGTCTCCCAGCCTAGGAACGCTGCCAGGGGTAACACGGGGAGACTTATAGAGCCTCGCGCGCCCAGGAGCCCACCATCCCGGCCACCATCACGAGGTCCAACCTCCTACTCCTTCCACTTACTTTCCACTCGCTCAGCCTTCTGATGAATCAAAATCTGATCAATCTGGGAGAGAAGGGCGATGCGCACATCAGCCGGCCCATCTGGACGCCCAGGTCCCCTCCCAGTCATCCTCCTTCCCTCCCTCGCCCCCTCCCACTCACCTGCACCAGGAATTCGAGGCCAGAAGGCACCCCTGGCACTGGCAAGAAGGGGGCAGCAGATCCCGAGGCCACGGGGCCGGGCGAGGGGAAGAGGGCGAAGCCGGGAGCTGGGGCAGGTACCTGGGCGGGCACTGGCGCCTGCCCGGGCCCAGGATGTAGTGCCGGCTCTGGGTACCCAGTGGTCACAGGGTAAGGAGGTGGGGGCGAAGGGGCGTAGCCTTTGGGGGGCAAGTAGCCTGTAAAGTGGTGAGGGCAGGATAGATTAGAAAGGGCTCCGAGGCCTCATCGCCTTATTCCTCAGCCCATGGGCCCCGAGGCTCGGGGGAAATGTGGTGGGAAGCGGCAGAGAAAGATGGGGCAGGGGAGCATGGTGGAGGTTCCCCGGAAGGAAGGGAGGGGCCCCACCCAGCCAGTCCGAGCACATTCCGGGAGGATGTGTTCGCACCCGGCTCCCAAGTCCGTGGGGGGATAACGGAGACCCCTGGCCTTGCGCGCACTTACCTGCCATGGGAGGAGGTTGGGGTTTTCGGGATGTAGGTGTCTGGGTGGCTTAGTTCTGGAAGCGAAGGCAAACCCTGAGACAGCCAGACAGACACAGAAACAGACACAAAGACGGACAGGCAAATGTGGAGAGGCAGCTGCGCCCGGCACCGGCCCAGGATCTCTAGGGCGGCGCCTCTGACTCGGGGAGAAACCCAAAGTGTCAGTGGCCGGGGCTGGGTACCTGGGACCCTGGATTCCCTAGGGGGCCCCAGAACCGCCCCCTCCCTTTGTTCTCCCATTCTGCGGAGGTGGATGTGGGCGGACGGCAGG